AACATTTTATCTTTTGTAACAGCATGGATAGGCCTGGAGAACATTGTGCTAAGTGAAATAAGCCAGGCAGAGAAAGACAAGTACCACATGATTCCAGTCATATGTGGAATTTAATAAACACACTGAACTAATCAGCAAAATAGAGACAAACTCATAGATGAAGAGCAGGCAAACAGCTCTGTTGGGGTGTGTGTTTGGTGGGTGGAGGGATTGAGAAGAGAGAGAGAGAGAGAGAGAGAGAGAGAGAGAGAGAGAGCTCATAGATGTGGACAACAGTGTAGTGATTGCTGGGGAAGGGAGTGGCTGGAAGTGGTAGAAGGAATGGTGGAGTGGGGGAGATAAGTGGTGATGGAAAAATAGAATAAAGAGAAAAAATAAAAGGAATCCCTTTAAAAATTCTAAAAAAGAAGAAAAAATATGAACTAAACTAACTACTCCAATGAACTTAACTAACTGCTCCAATCAAAGACAAGAGGTGGCTGAATTGATAACAATATAAGACCCAAGTATATGCTATCTACATCTACCTACTTCAGACCAAAAAACACAAACAGCCTAAGGTAACAAGATGAAAAACAATTTCATGCAAATGAAAATAAATGAAAACCTGGGATAGCAATACTTATATCAGACAAAATATACTTTACAGGGTGTAACGAGACAAAGGGAGACATTTATTAATTATAAAGGATCAATAAAACAAACATACAATTCTTGTAAACATTTACATACCTAGTGTAGATGTACAAAAATATATAAAGCAAATATTGATGGACATAAAGGGAGAGATCTACAATAGGAGGCTTTAACACCCCATTGACATCAATGGATAGATCATCCAGACAGAATATTGACAAGGAACCAGAAGCCTTAAATGACACATTAGACCAGATGGACTTAATTGAAATGTTTAGAACATTTCATCCCTACACAGTAGAATATACATTCTTTTCCAAGTGCACATGAAACGTTTTCCAGAGAAGACAACATGTTCGGCTACATAAATAAATTTAAGAAGATTAAAATCATATCAAGAATTTTCTCTAACCACAGTTATATGAAAGTAGAAATCAATTAAAAGAAAAAAACTGATAAACACACAAACACGTGGACTCTAAATAACATGTTACTAAACCAGTGATGATGAACCTTTTGAGCTCGGCGTGTCAGCATTTTGAAAAACACTCATTTAACTCTGGTGCCATGTCACATATAGAAATTTTTTGATATTTGCAACCATAGTAAAACAAAGACTTATATTTTCAATATTTATTTTATATATTTAAGTGCCATTTAACAAAGAAAAATCAACCAAAAAAATGAGTTCGTGTGTCACCTCTGACACGCGTGTCATAGGTTCGCCATCACTGCCCTAAACCATGAGTAGGTTAACAATGAGATCAGGGAAGAAATAAAAAGATACCTTGAGACAAATGAAAATGGAAACTCAACAACTCAAACTTTGTGGGACAGAGTGAAAGCAATCCCAAGACGGAAATTCAAGCATCGCGAGCCGTCTTTAAGAAACAATAACATTTCAAATATAAAATCTAAACTTACACCAAAAGGAAATGGAGAAAGAACAACAAAGCCCACAGTGAGTTGATGAAAAAAAGGTATAAAGACCAGAATGAAAATAAACAAAATAGTATAAAGAAACATTACAAAGGATCAGTGAAACCAAGAACTGATTCTTTAAAAAGATAAACAAAATTGATAAACCTTTAGCCAGACTTATCAAGATAAAAGGAGAAAGGACCCAAATAAATAAAATCAGAAATGAAAGAGGAGAAATAACACTGACATAACAGAAATTCAAAGGATTGTAAGAAAATATCATGAAAAACAACATGCCAACAAATTAAACAATCTGGAAAAAATAGATAAATTCCTAAAAACATACAATCTTCCAAAACTGAATAAAGAAGAAAAAGGAAATCTGAACAGCACAAATACAACTAATGAAATCAAAGCAGTAAAACAGTAAATTAAAAAAAAAACACCCAAAAACAAAAACAAAAATCCTTTTCAAGAAAGAAAGTCCTGGACCAGGTGGCTTCACAGGTAAATTTTACCAAAGACTCAAAAAAGAACTTACACCCATCTTTCTCAAACTATTCAAAAATATTCAAGAGGGAAAACACCTAAGGTCATTGTATGAGGCCAGCATTATCTGAATTCTAAAACCAGATAAAGACACCACAAAAAAGGAAATTACAGGCCAATATCCCCGAGGAACATACATGCAAAAATCCTCAACAAAATATTAGCACACCAATGTATAGCAATACATTATAAAAATCATTTATTACTGGGATACAAGGTTGGCACAATATCCAAAAATTAACGTGTTATATCTCATAAACAAAATGAAAGTTAAAAATCATATGATCACATCAATAGATGCAGAAAAAACATCAGATAAAACACAGCACCCATTTATTATAAAAATTCTCAGCAAAGTGGAACTAAAGGAAATGTACCTCGAAATAATAAAAGCCGCATATGACAAAACCACAGCTAACATCGTACTCAACAGGAAAAGCAGTGTTTTACTTAACATCAGGAAGGAGATCGTGTCCACTATGACCACTCTAGTTCAACATAGTTTCGGGAGTTCTAGTCACAACAATCAGATGAAGGAGAAGATGGAAGGCCTCCAAACTCGGAAGGAAGAAGTGAGACTGTGATTATTGCAAAGGACATGATACCGACATATAGAACCCTAAAGATCCCCTAAACTACTAGAAGTGAGAAATAAACTGAGTAGCAGTATATAAAATAAATATTCAGAAATTGGCTGCATTTTAATATACCAGTAATGAACTGTCAGAAAGGGAAGTTAAGTAAACAATCCCATTTACAATTGCATTAAAAATACCTATGAATAAATTTAACCAAAGAGGTAAAAGACCTGTCCTCAGAAAATTATGAGACACTGAAGAAAGAAACTGAAGAAGACCCAAATAAATGCGAGGACGTACCATGCTCATGAATATGAAGAAATAACATCATTAAAATATACATAGTACCTGAAGAAATCTATCGATTCAATGCAATTTCTATTTAATACAATGGCATCTTTCATAGAACTAGAACAAATAATTTTAAAATTTATATGAAACCACAAAAGATCCTGAATAGCTACAGCAATCTTGAGAAAGAAGAACAAAGGTAGAGCTATCATGCTACCTGATATTAAAATATACAATGAGGTCATAATAATAAAAAAGTATGGTACTGGCATAAAAACAGACATATAGATCAATGGAACAAAATAGAGATTCCAGAAATAAACCCACACTTATATAGTCAAATCATATTTAAGAAAGGTGGCAAGGACATACCGTACAATAAAGTAAAGACAGTCTATTCAATTAATAGTACTGGGAAAATTGAACAGATACATGCAAAAAAATAGGTAAAACTAGACCACCTTTTACACCATATAAAAGAATAAACTCAAAATGTATTAAAGACTTAAATGTAATACTCAAAGCCATAACACTCCTGGAAGACAACATAGGCAGTAAAATCCCTGACATTTCTCTTAGTAATAATTTTTCTGATATATCTTCTTGGGTAAGGAAAACAAAACAAAAGATAAACAAATGGGACTACATCAAACTAAAAAGCTTTTGCATAGCAAAGAAAACCAACAACAAAATGAAAAGACAGCCTACTGACTGGGAGAAGATATTTGCCAATGACACATCCAATAAGGGCTTACTATTCAAAATTCATTTTTAAAAAAGCCCATGCACCTGGTAAGTGTGGCTCAGTGTTGAGCACTGATGCATGAACCAGGAGGTCACGGTTCGATTCCCGGTCAGGGAGCATGCCCGGGTTGTGGATCCGGTCCCCAGTGGGGGACATCTAGGAGGTAGCTGATCAATGATTCTCTCTCACTATTGATGTTTCTATTTCTTTCCCCCTTTCCTTTCCTCTCTCTGAAATCAGTAAAAACATATTAAAAAAACAGAACACTCATGCAACTCAACACCAAGAACACAAACAATCCAATTAAAAAATAGGCAGAGGGCCTGAGTAGACACTTCTCTAAAGAGGACATACATAGGCCAATAGACATACGAAAAAATGTTCATGACTAATCATCAGAAAAATGCAAATTGAAACCAAAATGAGCTATCACCTCACACCTGTCAAAATGGCTATCACCAACAAATTAACAAACAACAAGTTCTGGCGAGGATGTAGAGAAAAGGAAACCCTCGTGCACTGTTGGTGGGAATGCAGATTGGTGCAGCCACTACAAAAAACTATGTGGGTTCTTTAAAAATTAAAGTCAAAACTGCCTTCTGACCCAGCAATTCCAGTTCTGCATATATATTGAAGAAACCCAAATCACTAATTTGAAAGAATATGTGCACCCCTTTGTTCACTGCAGCATTATTCACAACTAGAGGCCCGGTACATGAAATTCATGCATGGGGGAGGGGGGACTGTCCCTCAGCCTGGCCTGCATCCTCTCCAATCCGGGATTCCTTGGACATCCCTCTTGCAATCCTGGACCGCTGGCTCCTAACCACTCTCCTGCCTTCCTGATCACCCCTAACCACTCTGCCTGCCTGATTGCCCCTAACCACTCTGCCTGCCTGCCTGATCATTCCTAACCACCTCTGCCTCCTGGCCTGATTGCCCCTAACTGCTCCCCTGCCAGCATGATAGCCCCTAACCACCTCTACCTCAGCCCCCACACCCATGACCCAGGTTTCCCTCCTCTGGCTCACCGCAGGCAACCGGGACCTGCTCTTCCCTCCCTCTGGCTGGTTGCAGGCCCCCAGGACCCCCAGTGGCTTTGTCCAGCCTGGGACTGCAGGCAGCTTTGCCCAGCCTGGCTGTAGCTGTAGGTGCCCGAGACCACAGGTGCCTTCGCCTGGGCCCCAGTTTTGTCAGGAAGGATGTCCAGAAGATGTCTGGTCTAATTAGCATAGAACCTTTTTATTAGTATAGATACTACAAATTATAGTAATCAAAACAGCATGATACTGGCATTAAACAGATACATAAAACAATGAAAGAGACTAGAGAACCCGAAAATAAACCCATGCCTATGGTAAATTATTTTATGACAAAGTAGGCAAGAATATACAATGGGGTAAAAACAGTCTGTTTAATAAAAGGTGTTAGGGAAACTGGACAGATACATGGAAAAAATGAAACTGTCCACTTTCTTTCACCACATGCAAGAATAGAATCAAAATAGATTAGACTTAAATGTAAGATTGATACCATAAAACTCCTAGAAGAAGCATAGGCAGTAAAACCTTTTATATTGCTCTTAGTAATAATTTTTATTTAGATTTTCTCCCTCGCTAAGGGAAACAAAAGAAACAACAAACAAATGCAACTACATCAAACTAAAAGTTTCTGGACAACAAAGAAACTATCAATGAAACAAAAAGACAACCTACTTAGTTGGAGAATATATTCGCCAATCATATATTCAGTAAGGATTTGTATGGAGATCTCATTCAACTTATCACCAAAAACACAAACAATTCGATTCAAAATTGGGCAGAGGAGTGAACAGACATTTCTCCAAAGAGGACAAACAGATGGCCAATAGACGTATGGAAGATGCTCCATGTCAGTAACCATTGGAGAGATGCAAACTAAAACCACAGTAAGATATCCCCTCATACTTGTCAAAGGGCTATCATCAATGAATCAACACACAGTAAGTGTTGGCGAGGGTGTGGAGGAAAGAGAACCCACGTGTGCTTTGGTGTGATTGTAAATTGGATAGCCTCTGGAAAACAGTATGGAGTTTCCTTTAAAAATTAAAACTAAAACTACCATGTAATCCAGAAATCCCACTTCTGTGTCATTGTCAAAAAATCCCAGATGCTAATTCAAAAAGATGTGGCTTCCCTAGTGTCACTGCAGCACTCTTCACAACAGCCAAGAGATGGACGCAACGTAAGTGCCCACTGATAGAAAAATGGTGCCTATGCAGTATGCAATGGAAAATAGTTGATCAAAAAAAGCAATGAAATCTTACCATTTGTGACAACAGGGATGGGCCTAGAAGTATTATGCTAAGTGAACTATGTCAGACAGAGAAAGACAATTACCACATGATTTCACTTATATGTAGAAGCTAAAAAAACCCACAATAAACAAAGAAAGCAGAAACAAACTCACAGATACAGAGAACAAACTGCTGGTTGCCAGACAGGAGGGGTATTTTGGGGCTGGTGAAAAAGATTAAGAAATTAAGAAGTACAATTGGCAGTTACAAAATAGTCACAGGGTTGTAAAGTACAGGCAATCCTATATAATAAAAGAGAAATATGCAAATTAACCATTACTCCCTCACTTCATCATAAAGATGGCGGCAGCCACGGAGCTGAAGTGAGCAGGACGCTTACTTAGGTTGCACCTGGCGATGGAGGAAGCCAAGCTTCCCGCTTGCCCTGGCTAGCCCTGAGCTCCACTCAAGGGTACAAAGTTTCAATTATAGAAGATAAATAAATCCCAGATACCTGCTTCCAGCTAGCCTGGCCTCCCCTCAAGGAGGGGCTGGGAACATGGGTTTCCAGGGGCAACTCAGGCTTCGAACGGGACCAAGGCTACAAAGTTTCAATTATAGAAGTTAAATAAAGCAAGTGGATATCCCTGGAGGGCTCCCGGGCTGCCAGAGAGATATCTGACTGCCAGCTTAGACCTGATCCCCCGGGGAGCGGGCCTAAGCCAGCAGGTGGACATCCCTGCAAGAGGGCACAGGCTGAGCTGAGGGACCCCACCGAGTGCACAAATTTTTGTGTACCGGGCCTCTAGTAATATTAATATTATAATACCTACGTATGGTGTCAGGTGGATGCAAGACTTAATGAGGGATCACATTGTAAGTTACATAAATGTCCAAGTACTGTGCCGCACATCTGCAAGCAATACAATATTGAATGTCAACTGTAACTAATGTTCAATATCTGTAGGGCACTTGTTAAGGTTAAATTAAATATGTGAAGCACAGTTCCCGACAGAGCAGGCACTGGGTAAACTGCAGCTGTGGCTGTGAAGGGACAAGGTGCATGTGCTCTCTCATGCGAGGATTCAGTTGTGGTTATAACATACCTGCAACAAAGGCAGCTTTGGGGGCAGCTGGTATTTGTACTCTTCCCAAGTGAGTGGCCTTCTGAGAGACAGTGTTCTTTGGTAGTGTCTGTGCTCTTCACCTTCCACTTGTACTAGTCTGAGAATCCCAGAGAACCCTTGGAAATTGCCATGACTGTCCAGGTGGGTGCGGTCCTGACTAGCAGGATACAGTCCTGACTAGCAGGATAGGGCCCAGAGACTGGGCACAGAGATTGGGCACAGAGACTGGGCACATTGCACCAACTCACTTTACCAACACAGTGCTGTGCAGAGATGTGCTTGTTGTATGCGTAGGCCTCCTTCTGTCTGGCTGCTGTTTTCTGTCTATGACATAGACTTATCAAAACCCTGGATGTCAGCTGCAGGGAGGACTCAGATTCGAGGGTAAACAGATACAGGACATCTTCCAAGACACTTGTCCTCAATTCACTTCAAGATGCTATTGCTGATAACTATTTATTTATTTTTTAAAATATATTTTTATTGAGAAAGGGAGATGGAGAGTCAGAAATATTGATGAGAGAGAAACATAGATCAGCTGCCTCCTGCACATCCCCTACTGGGGATATACCCACAATCAAAGTACATGCCCTTGACTGGACTTGAACGTGGGACCCTTCAGTCCGCAGGCTGGTGCTCTATCCACTGAGCCAAACCGGTTAGGGCACTGCTGATAACTGTAATGCTCAAAGTGAGGTCATTCCTGGACCCATGTCTTCCCTCCTTCCAGATCCGTAGAATATTCTAGGGGCCAGCTGCCTCCGATTGGCAGAATAACTGAGTGGATGGCCTGGCTCTTTCTGATAAAAAGTCAAACAGTGCATGCATGGAAAGAAAAATAACCTGCTGCACGTGGGTCTGATGAGGGGTAAGTACTCATCCACAGGAGAGTGAAGTGGAGACATGGCACCCCAGTACAGTGACCACCACGGCCCTGCTACTCAGCTCAATCAGACTCAGCAGCTGTGGCCAGGGACCTCCCTCCATGCTAATGGCTGGCCATGCTCTCTCTCTTCATTTCCAAAGAAATCTGTGGAATCAACAAGCCTCCAAGTCTGTTTGAACTGAGACAAGTAAATGTAGATCATTTGTTTTGTGAGTTAACAGATATAAGTTATTGTGGAAACTCACTAACTTCCTGATGAAAAGCAGTGAGTACTGTTTATAGTACTAACTAGAGGCCCGGTGCACAAAATTCCACACTCGGGGTGGGGGGTCCCCTCAGCCCAGCCTGCTCCCTCTTGCTGTCCGGGAGCCCTCACTCCTTACTGCCTGGTTCACTGCTCCTTAATGCTGCCATGGAGGCAGGAGAGGCTCCCGCTATTGCCGCTGCACTTGCCAGCTGTGAGCCTGGCTTCTGGCTGAGCTGTGCTCCCCCTGTAGGAGTGCACTGACCACCAGGGGGCAGCTCCTGCGTTGGGTGTCTGCCCCCTGGTGGTCAGTGACCTTCATAGCGACTGGTTGTTCTGTCCTAACGGTCACTTAGGCTTTTATTATATAGACTAGTGGCCTGGTGCACAAAATTCATGGACATTAAAAGAGAATAAATTAGAGGAAATATTTTAATATTGCTATTTGCCCTTTCTCTATGATAGAAGTGTCAGAGATGAAAGAAAATTAGTAAAATGTATATGAAAATCTCCCTCCTGTCAGAGTCTGGGGTGCACCATGGTCAGGGGGCACAGCCTGAGGTCCCCAGGTCTGGCACTGGGGCGGAGGAGGCATGGCCTGAGGTCTCCATCAAGCCTGGCCAGTGGGGGGTTGAAGGCGAGGCCTGAGGTCTCCCAGTCCGGCGCCATGGCTGGGGGCATGGCCTGGGGTCCCCAGTCAAGTCCCGCTGGGCAGAGGTTGCAGCCTGAGGTCACCTGGCCCAGCACTGGGGAGGAGGGCATAGCCTAAGATCCCCTGTCAAGCCCCACTGGGTAAGGGGTGTGGCCTGAGGTCTCCAGGCTGGGCACAGGGGCAGGGGGCATGGTCTGAGGTCTCCTGGCAAGCCCTGCCAGGCTGGGGGCATGGCCTGAGGTCCCCTGTCAAGCCCTGTGGGGCAGGGAGCGTGGCCTGAAGTCCCTCGCCCTGGCCAGGTGCCATGCAGCCTCAGGTCCCTGCTGTTCGGTTGTGACGTTATGGCATCCTGGCTAATTTGCATATTCCTCCATTATATAGATAGATAGATAGCTGCCAAGAGCTATCCTACGAGTTCCAAGGGCTTTTATTCCCATCATTTCATTAGCACACCTTGACTTTTTATTTACAATATACTGCTCAGGAGAGTAACAATAGCAGCTACCAGTTACTGAACTACGTGGCACCAAGTATCTGCAAGGCACCTGGCGTGGGTTACTTACACAGCATCATCTCTGAGCAGGTATTAGTTACATTTCATAGACGCAGCAACTGAGGCTCAGAGTAATGACATGGGTCGTTCAATGTTCCCCACAAGCCACAGTTTAGCAGGATCAAACCCAAGGATCATTCCTTTGAGCACTGACACCCAGGGTCCCTGCCGAGGGTGAAGGCAGAGGCTCCAGCGGGGGAGGGGAGGGCAGAGATAACACTGGGTTTTCAGGCTAGAGCTGGTTATTTCTTCTCCCAGGTTATGAGAAAATGGAATTTATTATTCTTATCTACCACATATTCTGCCTTTTCCTTTCAATTATCACTATTTCTAAGAGCTAACTGCAAAACCTATCTCTCCCAAGAAGTCATCTTTTGATTAGCTCTACTGTTTAACCCTGCTCTCCCCTGTCTTTCTAATACAACATTAGGCAAATTTCCCACTGAAGGTGAAATTGAGGGCCACTTCAACACTTATTTCTTTTGCTTATTCCCAAAGTAAGTAAATTAGTTGTTCTCGAACAAGTCAATGCATCTTTACAAAAAGGAGATAATATTCATTTTTATCTAGTTTATTTCCAATTCAGACATTTCAATTCAATTTGTAAATGCTATTATTTTTAATTTAAAATTGGTTGGTATTACTTTTCACTTGTAATTTTTTCTTGTCAAAGTTTTCTTGTTCTTTAAAGTGCAGTTACTTTCCTCCCTGGAATAGATGTTACTAGTAAGTTCCTAAGGCAGGGAACATGCTTTATCATCCTAACAGCACCTCTAGCATAGGGATCTGCAAAGCGCCGGCACCGATACTTGCTGTTGTTAGCTGCCTGCTCACCGGTGGGAGGCACTGATGGTGTCAGGTGGGTGAGATTCCCTGCGATGAACATTAGCGAGTTGTATAATGGCTGATCACTCGGTTGTACACCTGAGATTAATGTAATATTACATGTCAACTGTAATAAAAATAAAATCTAATTCAGTGTAAAAATAAATAAGTAAAATTTATAAAGTACAAAGTAAACGATTTAGTGGGCGCCTATGTTCTACGAAGTGATACGCACAAAGGACACCTCCAGGAGCTGCACACGTGCGCCCTCTGTGAAGGGGAGCAAAGGCCAGATGTGGAGGCGTGGCCTTCGCAGTCCAGATGAGTCCCCGGGGAACCCCCGGAAGAAAGGCGCCGCTTTCGCTTGCTCCTGTGGGGCCTCAATCGCCAGAAAAGGCAAAGCCACTCCGCCAGCCGCAGGCCCTCTTTCCCAGTTAAATAGGTCCTCGGCGCAGGCCGCTGCCAATGTGGGACTCACAGCTCCCACCTCTCCGAGGGCTTCCGCAGCTCTCAAACCAAGGTCAGCGGGAGGGGAGACCAGGGGCCAGGGCAGCAGGAGAGGGGAGGGGTCCGGCGCGGTCTATGCCGAGGAGGGGGGACGGGCCTTAATGCATTTCCAAGCCCCATACTTCCCAGCGAGCAAGCGAGCGAGCGCCTCTGCGCCTGTGCGGACCCTCCCTGCAGATGCGCACCTCACTCCTCACAGCAAAGCGCGGAGGTCGGCCAACTGGGATCACCATTTTTAAATGTTTTCCCACTGATTTTTAGGGAGAGTGAAAGAGAGAGAAAGAGAGAAACATCCATGTGAGAGAAGCACATCGATTGGTTGCCCCCTGCACAGGCTCCGGGCGGGGGGAGGAGCCTGCAACCGAGGTGCGCGCCCTTGACCGGATGATCAGGGCGAACCGGGGCTCTACCCACGGAGCCACAGGGCCAGGGCGGAAGGGCCAGGGCGGGGCACCGGCGGCAGCGGGGCGGGCGCCCACC